AACCAAATGAATTTCAAATGATTTGAAATTACGGTCCATCGCAACGTTAAACACGTTATTTTATTAGCTCTAACTGAATAATAGAATTTGTCTGTTCGAACATTATAAATTATATATAAAGTATGCCCTGGTGACCGGTGATTCCAGAGCTGGTGTTTTTCTCGCTCATCGAATAAGCGATACAGCGAGGAAATTCTACCAGCATTAAAGATATACTGCCTGCCGCATGGACCAAACATCTAAAATTTAGTTTTTATTATTTAAATAAAACTTCATGCATGTATAACACAGATAGGGCAAGTAGAGACACAAACTTATGTTTGATATAGAATTACTAGACTTTATTTTATATTATTATATTATATATTACTTTATCAGAATAAAGTATGCAATTTATGTCATGAAACAAGGTACAGATTGATAGGCGCGTAAACAGATTTAAAACAATGACAAAATTAGTTTAGCGTAAAAGTTTAGTTTAGTTTTAGTAATAAACTTAAAAGGAGTCCACAAGAATTCTAAGTTTCTTTATAATAAAAGCCGGAAGATGGCTTATCTCATTTCCGGTTCACGTTAATCGAACCCGTGTTGACAGGCGATAACGGATTTAGGGCTATTTCGAAAATATTCTAAGGCTGTGTAACTTGCTGTAAATTATAGAACAGTGAACCACACTGTGAAAGCCTGACCTAAAGTATTTTTAACGGTCTTATATAAGAATATGATGCCTTTTTCGACTTCCAAGCACGTGTGCTTTTATCGACTTCGTCGTGTAATATACACTATATTTGTATGTTTATATTTCGATACATCACGAATGACGATATGTTGACCATTCGTGCCACTTTTAAACAAACGGACTAGAGATAATACTGCATTTGGTAGATTACCAAAATATCTGACAGGATCAAACCAAGTCATAAATTAATACACACTGGCTGACTTTTTTATGACAGGGTAAATACTTTAGTTATAACTCACTGATGTTATTTTAACCAACAACATGATTATATGTCTTAATAATATAATAATAAATGTTTAAAATCTGGTACTGCCACGCATCCAATGTAATAAACTTAATTATAACATTACATATATAATAATGTAAGAGGTAATTAATATAAATATTTTCGTTTTTATCTAAAGTACTTATCGATTTGTACATTGTAACAAATTGACTTTCGCAAACTAATTTAAAACCCCTAACCAAAACATTAATGCAATGTTCATTCATTAGGTTTAACGGCAATAATCTGCGTTTTATTTAAGGAGCTGGGAACAATATGCTTTTCTAGGAATGCGTCATGGCTGAGTACTCCTTTCAGACTTTTTCGTTAGCGGAAAGCTATCGGGCGCAACAAGGGAACTGTTTTCCTACCATTACGTGTATTTTTTGTAACTGTTTGTTATTGTTTCATTCGCTACAGCTTTCACAAAGGCCATTTACATTATGTGGTTGCTTTTAACTTAACATTTCATACTAACAAAATGATTACCAATTGCTTTATAGGTTTTATGCTTTTGCTGTATTTGTGGATTAATATAGACTTTTGTAGAGACAACTTGCGCTTTAAAAATAAGAAAAAATCAATCGATTTATAATTTTTTCAGGATTCAGAAAATAAAAATTATAATGTTAATTATTCGTGACAATTTTTTATCAGCGTGTACGCATATTTTCGTATTACAATTTTATTAATTTAAGATCTGATGAAATAAATAGCTTGACGACGTGTTTTTGCAAATAGGTGCGGTGCAGCTTCAAGATTGGGCTGTGAAATAAAACTACAGTTTCCTTCAAAAAATTATTATATAAAAGTACGAATTAAATGATAATAAAACCGATTTTCCTTTAATTAAATTTACAAACTACAAACGCTGATGTCTCGGTCTCCAAAGCAATCGTAATTGCTACGAATCGTAACATTTAACATTTATATATTAACTAAAACATAATATAACATCTTACAAATCCTCAATTAAATTAAGCAAATAAAATCATAGCAATTAACCGATCTACATTGTCATATTTACACCCGTAAGTATGAAAGCAGATCTTATAACAGAATCAATATACATGCTTGATAAAACATGTCGTGAGCAATGTTACAAACGTTGCTTTTATCGCCGACAATGATAAGCTGATACGCGATTCCGTTCACTTGTGAAAAGATAACATTATTGTACCTCATATGGACCTTATTTCACAATTTTATATCGGATTTCAATTACATTTTCTTCAAACCATTCGACTTTTATATTCCATTTTGGAGGCATTCCAAAATGTGCTTTATATTTTTTAAAATTGAGTGACAGTTTCGTGGGCTGTTTTAAGCTCCGTAATTATAAATGGCGTTAACTATTGTTAAAACCGATTTAATTGTTTCACAAGATTATGAACATGACGATCGTTATTTCTGTAATGAATGCATCAACGTAAGACATTGTTATCTGACAAATTATTATGACGCGAGAAGTTGTTATGAATTATATCTAATTGATGCGCGTTTTGTTCACTAAACGTTAAATTATAAACAAACGTTAAATTATAAATAATTAATAACAATTATAGACATTGTAACAACTCAGCTTTTATATTTCGTAAGCTAACACTTATTGTTTTGTTACTTTAGTTTGTCTGAATTTCAATATTACCAGCGCTGTCAGTGTGCACATTGACAACAAGTTGTACTGAACTCATGCCAATGCCAACCCCCGCCACGAGATCCACGGGTACCTCTAGCCCTCTTGTTTCTCCAGAAACACTATAGGTTGATGTAGATACAAGGTTGATTGGTGCAGCGGCAATGCCACTTAGAAGTATTACTAGTAAAACTGGCGCCAACACGCCACAGCCACTCCTGAAAATTTAAATGGACTGTGTACAATATGTTAATTGATAAAAAAATTAACTATTTATATAAAAAATCAAGGTTTTTTTAACCAATATTTTTAATACAGTGATCGTTTATAAGCAACGGAACGTTGAACTAACTAGTTTTGGAAAAATAAAAAATAAAACGGATGCAAAAATGTGTGCCCTATATCCAATAGAGGGATAGCGAAATCGCAGTCAACAAAAACAACATAATATATGTAATTTTATACATATTTTATACAACTTTTTACAACAAAACACTTATTGTATTTTTTAAAAACATTGACATTCATTCGAATTCAAGGGTTTTTTAACAAAATATCATCATATAAAGCTTCGTGGAATAGCGATACTGTTCATAACAAACAAATAAAAAGTCAATCGACATAATTATAACACTAATCTAATAAATATCTTCATATTAAACTATAAAAAATATATATCAATAACATGAATGTAAATTAGTTCATCATATTCAATATTTTCACAAGTCATCAAATTATGTTACTTAAAAATGTTATTAAGGTTTTTATTCTTATTTAAAATATTTTAACATTTCTTGGCTCACTACTTCTGTATCTAGTATGTGCTGTCATTATTTATACAATTAAAATAAATGTTACTTACATGGCTGCTTGCGCGTAGGCAGAAAGGTTTTTGGCACACCTATCTACTACGTGTAGAGATCTGATCGCTATTGAGACCTGTTATCTTGTTGCCAAAGACATCAGCCATCGTTAGGGCGAGACTAAACGCTCGACGGAATTACTGCAATTGTCGCATCGAGACGTAGCTAATATCTCTAATAATTGTTTACCGTAAATGCTTTACGAATAGATACAGCAGTATTCGTAAGTATTATCTCTAATGGTAGATTAATCATTATAATTATATATCTTAACGGTGCAATTCAGCTACGTTATTATCTACTTTGGTCATTAACTGGAACGATGACAATATTGTGGCCTATTAAAATTAATTATAATATCATTATATTAGTTGCACGTTTACTTCGGCCTTATTCGCAAAGTTTGTCATGACACTCTTAAATATGTATCGAGAAAGACAGATAGCTAATCTTACTAGGTACGATGAGAAAGAAATGCGATAAAGATATGTAATAATCTATATTATAATCTTCCGTATAGCACAAAATTTATATATACGAAAGTAATAAAATTATTTGTAAACAAAAATAACAATTATATATATAATTTAATTTATTTTATTATTATTAATTACTTAAGATGTCATGTAGAACATGGTGTAATGGTTGCAGCTCCTTACAAACATTGTGTAAAACAAAAGAGTGCCGGAGAGTTTATTACCAGTTCTTCTCTTCCGTTCTACGCCCTTGATTTGAGAACTGGCAGTAATTATGTAAAATTAGTAGCATTTCATATATATTTATTTTTGACGTTCATAAGTGTACACTTAGTTACCTAAATGGTTTTTGAATTTGAATATAAAGAATACGTTGTGCAAAAATTTATAATTTAAGCCTTTATTCTTTAAATATTTAAGGATATGATGACTATTATCAATTAATTAACTATTATAATTTATAAGTTAATTAATTTGTGCTTACGGTAAATATTTAATAGCCGATGCAGCACCAAACTGGCTGTCGGCTCGATTTTTTAAGCTGTACGTTTCGTATTAGGTAAATGAAATCCCAAATTTACATAAGACGAATGGTTGCTATAAATCGAACTTTGATATATTCGAGGCAACTTTCTGCTGACTATAAGGCTCTAGTCGTAAGGAAATTGCCCGTTCCTCATTCCGACTCTGAGAAATGTCATTTGAAAGTAACACGAGAATCAAATAAAAGTTATTGGCTCCTTATTGAGATCACCTTGGAGCATTATTCAAAACTCAGAATGATCCCAATTTCAACTGGATTAAGAATTTCTGTTTAAATTCCAATGTATACCATATTTATATTTCATAGAATAATAAAAGTTTTGTAAGAATATTATTCGTGTTTATAGTGAAATAAATATTGTAACTACTGGTTACTTTAAGATCGTGAAATAGGCAGGAATTTTTAAGAAATCTTCATTTTTATCAAATTAATAGTCTTGTTAACAAGTTGATGTTTTTTTTATTTGCAGATTATATGGACTCTCTCTGCAAGGACCACTTCCTGCAGCGGCAGTATCGAAAACTTGACGGTGGCGTGCTGTGGTCCCGCAACGAGAGGAACCTGGACTGCACTGTCACCTTCCAGACGCACAGCATTCTGCAGCGGTTTATGCTGCACTTTGAGCTGCTACAGCTCGACTGCAATGATCACCTCTATGTCTACGATGGCGCACACGCCACTGCACCTCCTAAGGTACTACACTGTCTATAACAAGTTTTAATTTATGAATGATTTATTTATGTTAAGTTATGTAGGTACACTCGCATCGATACGTCTTCACACTTACTCATTCACTAACATGCGCCCACACTCACTTATGCACTTAACACAGGCGTGTTGAAAACAGTTGAAAAAACAAAAATAATTTTTAAAAGATGCAATTAAATTATATATTTTTATAGAATTTACTATTAAGCTTGTTGTGGAAGAGCTGGGAACAAATCTCTTTTTTAATATTATGCCTATTATTATAATTATAAATTGCTGTTTTACTAAAAAGTTGGCTTTAAGAACGCAGTGTGCATTTACGCCTTTAGTACACCTACGCAATCGCATGCGGCAGCGAAACGATGAAAAAACTGTAAGTTGTATGGCAACGTTTCGCATGTGTTTTGTCTCGCTCTATTATATAGCTAGATGAAATAGTTGCGTCCTTGTCGGTATTGTTTCGCAAGTAACTGCGAAATGGCTGTTACACAGACGCAGCCGTTTCGCATCGCAATGCGTCACCACGCGTTCTGTCAGTGAGGACAGAATTTCGCACAATGGAAGCCGAATATATTGAATTATTATTAAATTTGATTCGAAATTATCCCGAATTATATTTAGTTGGGCATTTTAATTACAAAAATGCATACAAAAAAGAGGTGGCATGGAGGAAAATTCAAGAAAAGACGGGGATAGATGGTAAGAAATAAAGCTACAATGACATTTCCTTGCGAAAAAAACTGCAGTGTACTAACGTTCCGCAGATATTTCGCTACCGCAATTATTTCGCAAAGACTCGCAGCCGCATACGAACGCGTAGGTGTACTAAAGGCGTTAATGTCAAAATGTAATTTGAGACAATTCACTCATTCGGCATTTGTTCAATAACATTCCTCTATCACATATCAGTTTTACCGATATGATATCCAATTTGGAGGCATTCCAAGACGCAAGCAATTACCCTGGAGATGGAGATTACTCCGCCTGCTCCCGACTACAGATCCTCTAATTTATTAAGGATTCTTGATGCTAATGAGAATAGATCTCTATTCAATTGTTCTATTGTCTTTTAATTAAAATCGATTTCAAATCAATTAATTTGAATTCTCACGTGGCTCTTGATTAATAACTCACTTATTCATAGAGTTATGACTTCATATTATTGGCATATAATTTGATTGTTGTTTTGAATGTAATAAGGATTACAAGAGAAAAAGACTTTTCATCTGGTTATTCTAGGAGTTAGAATTAGTTAAAAATATTTTGTGTTATTAATTTATTTGCAAGATTACATGAGAAGTATAAGCCTATTCAAGGCTTTTAATAGTTCAGTTATGTCATTATATATATTAATATAATGGTAAAGTATATTTATATGTTGTTAAGCAGTCAACTCGCCCAGGAGAACATCTATAAATTCATATCCAACATTCTGAATATTTAAGTTGTTACCTTCGCGTTAGTAAATATATTCAAAAATCGCTGAAGAAAACCCGTTTCTTTCCTTTCTCCGTATGTTAACGTTAAATGTTTGCTATGGAGAATGTAATTGTATGTTTAGGATAACGAAAAATAAACACGGTAAAGTAGGAATAAGCGACAAACCCTCGTCCCGACAATACTTGAGAACATTCTTCGTCCTTTGTTGGCCGGACTTGGATTTGAATTTAAAATTGGCAAAGTTGCGTCTCAGTCTTGTTAATTATTTAGTTTGCGAGACACCTGCCGTCCGCTGATGCTCATTAACATTCCCACTGGGAATACTTGACGATAAGTTATTCTTTGTACTTTTCTGACTTTCAAGGAGTTTCATTGCTTAATTCTTTCCATTATTGAAGTGAAATTTCTTTAGGCGGATGAGGGTAAATTTTTACGGAAACGTCTCGAAAATGTGCAGCGTTTTTGTCGAAGAAAAGGAAGAGAGCGATTGAGACCGATTGAGAGAGAGTGAGAATGATTAATTCCCTTATAGAAATTATATTTTTAAAATTAAATTTGTAAATAGAATTTATGAAATATTAGTATTTTATATTTTATGCAAAATAATTTATTGAAATCTCAAATGACGAATCGTAAATTAAAATGCCACGTGTTTTTACCATCGAAGAATTAAATAAAAACAATTACATTTATAATTTGTATTAATTTTCGACACTTAATATTTTAATGACGTTTAAATTCATTAAATTCCTAACATATCTTCCTATTTCCCTCCCTCTAAGTCTCGGAAATCTAATGTTTTAGATTTGTATAAAATATGATAAAGACTTAAAAATTCGTTTGCCAAAGAAGTTTCACATCTGACATGTGTACTTTTTACGCACGCCCTTTTTCTTGTAACTCAAGAGATTATTGAAAGTAATAGCTAGTTTACGTACGACTGTAAATTAAGACCTAGTATAAGTTTAATGAGAAAAAGTCGTAATAGCTCATAGGTTGCATTGATGTCGTATTTGCGTACGTGCGTAGGCAAAAATATCTGAATGCACCATTCATAGCAGTAGAGCTCAGCGGAGTAATATCGGTCAGCATTGAAGTTGTACGAATTACCCCCTTCAACGTATGTGTGTTAAATTCTCTTTAATTTTCAATTCAACCGCTTGTCAGCGATTTGTCGGGAAGTTTTAAGTATGAATTCTTTATGCGATGGTAAAGCTCCGGTGTTCACAGAAATAAATTGCGGGCTTCGCTTTAATGGGACATTTTTCATCTTTCCTTCGTTTAAGAGGTTTTTAAATAGAACGCTTTTTAAATGGACTGTGGATTATTTATAAATTGTGAAATGATGATTTCGTTAATGAATCAGAACGAGGGCAACAGATTTAAACTTAGAAATGGAATAAACACGGACTAAAATGGTTGTTTCAAATATATGACAAGCATAATTATAATAGTATATGCCATGTCATTATACCTATAACATATATACAGAATAAATATGTCTATTCTCTCTGAAAATTCTACATATAAACAGTACGCGGTGTTACTAGTAGTTTCGGCAGAACGTCATCTGTTAAATGTGATACCATACTGAGACTCGACTCTATAATATAAAACGCAAGAAATAGAGTCGAGAAGAGAAACGTTTCTTGATTATTCCAATTATCCTCATAATAACAGAATCTTTGGTACCGCTCGGTTACGATATGTTTATTTGACAGTGAAAATGTAAGAAAGTTTGTTCAAGAAAACTTAAATCCATTACTTGTAAGACACTCGAATGGAAATTGTTACTTCAAATTGGCCACCGCTCGGCGGATGGCGTTTCGCTATCGGGTTTGCTCAGCCATTTTGGGAAACTTAAATGGATCATTATTTTCTTTTATTAAGTAAATTCTGGAGTGACGAAAATTAAATTCGTGTAATATGTCCTCTGCCAGTGTCTGAGATGTTTAAGGGAGTCGTTAAGATTACAAATGGGGAAATATTAAAGCGTTTAATTAGACTTCAAGGCACTTTTTTACGCACAGTAATTTCACAGAATCGTTTATTTCTTTGGTCAAATGCTTAATGTTAACTACTTAAGTACTTACGAAATGCCCTTTTGCAAACGCGTTTACTGACAATTTTCGATTGGTAAACGAATTACAAAATTATTACAATGTTTGTGAACTGTTAATCTAAATTTTGAAAAGTAGTTAGAATTGTTTTGAATAAACAACAAAGTTTAATAGATCAAAGCAACCACAGGAGCGCACAACTGAGAACAATGTTGCTGAATCAAAGACAAAGGGTAAAGTTATATGACCACCTGCGCGACTTACAACTATTTGCTCACCACGACACCACAGCAACATACCTCCGCTTCTAATAGCTGCTTGTGATATTCATGTACCTTTAAACTTTTTACTTTAAGATTGCGTAACCGTAAAATAATTTTAACAATAAAGAAACCGATTGTTGAATTAGCAAAGAAAACGATAGCTTTATTTTATGCTTATTATAATAACTATATTTTATCTAATATTGATCAAAATATTAATAACAGTACGTATTTAGTATAGGAACCTTTCAAAATTTTTTCAACGGTTAAACCGCGTTTCTTATCATTATGTATTGAATTAATGTTTCTTAGTTGAATTAAAAATGCTGCCGCGTGCCATATATTTCTCCAGAGGAATACTTTCTGAAGTCAGATTCATATAGGAAATTAATCATTCGTATAATTTAATCAGGTTTCATTCTAGTATAATTAAATACTTCTTATAAAGTGTGATACACTCGTAAGATAAATATAAGGAGAAGACTGGGTTTTATGTTTTTACGTGTTATAAGGATTTTTGGTATTAAAATGGAATTTTCGCCTAATGAACAACGAATAAGAGTCAAAGATTTATTCTAAATAGTATTTATTTTACAAAAATCTGTTAATAATTTACGATAGTTACTTTTGTATTTACCAGGGTGTTCGCAGCGAAGCAGATTTGTACTCAGCCTTCAACATAGTTTTTACGACATATTTTAGTTACGTCTATATCGACTTCACTTGACTTCTATATTTATCACGTAACAAAACCTCTTCTCCCTCCACGAGAAGTCAAGCAAAGTTTACGCGAAGAATTCAAAAGGAAATGAAAGTATTAAAGTGTTTATTACCGAAACAGATGCTGGAACAAAGCAAAATGTTTCAAAGAAGTACTTCAACAGCTCTATTCAGCACGATGGATGTGAATTAAGTAAATAGCAGCCACTTTAGATTCAGTCGGCGTGCACTTTACATCATGAAACTTATAAGACTTCAGGACACGCGCAATGGCTTAAATTGACTGGACGAAAATTTTACATAGACGATATTCTAAACAAGGGGAATTTTAACTAAAAATCACGTGCTGTTCTGTGATTTATATTTTTGTTATTTGGATGTGATTGTTTATAAAATAATGAATATTAGGAAGTATATCAACTGTTGCAACACGAGGTTACGTTTAATAAATCTTAAAAACGATATTTTATGTCATAATGAAGGTATATAAAAATAAGAGCTAGAGCTAAGTAGATACTAGGATAATACCTTTATGAGACGACCCTTTGAAATCCAATAAATATACGACAAAGAACCTTCATTATCGGATAATGGAGCTTAGGCTTCTATAAAGCTGTGAATTATTTCCAAGTCGAATTCCAAAGTAAAGAATAAGAACCCTGTGAAGGAATTTTAATATACCGTAGACTTAATAAAACGTCCGGAGAGCGGGTATAGAATGCAAAATTTTGTTGCAAGAGACTCTTTTGATGCACGGCGTTAGACAAGGAGGTTCCGAGGGGGGCTAAATCCGGGGCGGTCACGTCTTCCCGATAGCTCTCCCTGAAATATGACAGCGATATAATGCGGCCATCGTTCACTAAGCTCCACTCGATGAAGAAAATATTGCGCGAACCTTCAGTTTTATGAAGTGTAATAAAGATGAGTTAATTTTGAAGGGATTTCGTCGATGAAATTGACCAATAGACTTTTATGTCTTTGAATCGGTGTTTGATTTTATACCGATGCTTATGACGAAACGGGTCGTTTTTAATTCACTTAGGTCAAGATGTATTTTTTTGTTTCCGGAATTGCCATATATAATCGTTTGGTAGTATTTTTTGTTAGACAACATTTTGATTATATTATAAAAGAATTAAACAATTACGAGTAGCATTTAAAATTTTACTTGGAATGTAGTGGATTTTAATCATTACATTTAATAAAACAATTTTTAACCGGATTGAAGTTATGTATTTACAATTATTTTACATAATTTTAAATTTAACCGACGTTTCGCGTGCTTTACAGCATGCGTGGTCACGGTGACTGAAGACAAAAGGTGTTGAATGTCAAAAAGTATCACAGCTGTAGAAAAAGTTGCATTATCTGTATTTATTTCCCCGGAGTTGGTATCGACTAAAAGATAGAGTGCAACAGATTTAAATCGTCGATATTATTTTTTATAAGAATGATATAATATTAGAGAGATCGAAATTATTAGCTAGTTTCTTTCTTTTTTCATAAGTTCGTCATATCGTCGCGTATAAATTCTCAACTCTACTACACTACTTTAGTAAACATAACTTCTGAACAAAATTGGACAAAATTTTCAGTTTGTCAATAAAGCCATATCGTATTTCAGGCAGACCTGTCCTGCCGCAACACGAAGCAGCAGGTGGGCGCGCTGTTCACGCGCAGCAACTTTGTCACCCTCAAGTACGTGACCGACAACTGGGGCACCGACGCCAATGGGTTCAAACTGGTTATCACTTCCGTCAAAGACCCTAGTAAGTATATTTGTCTAATGTCTTCTCTTTTAGTTCAATTGTAATTCAGTTCAAAAAGAAGGGGATGACAATACTAGGCCCTGCAGTCTATCTAGACTATATGTAGTAGAACCTTTCATTCTCACCAATAGGCCGCATCTCATTATCATCAGGTGGGATTGCGGCAAACGTCCACGTTTCCTTACAAAAAAGATTACTTAATTGGTTGAAATTTTCGATATGCTACTGTACGCTGTACAGAAAGTCGTTGTTTTTGTAAGAAAAGTTAAGTGAAATTGAAGTAGAAGCTAAAAAGGATTACACGGAATCACGAATCAGTGATTTTTTTTCAAAGGACGTTATCGGTTTGAAACCAAAGGTAACACACAAAATGATGTTTGCTTATACCTAGCTACCATAGTCAATATTTGAAAATAATCTTCAGTTTTCCAATTTTATAACAAGTCCGAACAGATAAAAGCTTTTCATTATATTATTTACTTGTGTAAATACCACTTACGTTAAGGATTATATAGGCTTCAATACATTGAGCGAACACAGAAAATCGTTTCCATTTATTGATTTATTAATTGAAACATGCAAATTGAAATTTGTTACACGTAGCGTAGTAGATGTTCAACATAATCAATATTTCGACTGCAAATTCTCGAGAGAGGATTTGTATGGAGATGTCACGAGAGCGATTCCGGGCTAGTAACGAAAAAATTTACGGTGCTCCTATATTTCGGTTAAAACAAGACGTTAATATTATTGTAGGAAATTACTGTGATTGTATCTTTTCTTATTTACATCACAATACATGTTATGAAGCGTATAATTAGATATAAGTTGGTTGGATAATAATGAGTTGGCCAGTCATTATATAAATAATGGTAACATTTTTATAAATAACTTTCTTTATTCCATCTGCCTTTTCAATCAACGCTCATCTGGAGCACGTTGGAGTTTTACTCCTTCGTTATTGACATCACCAGGTGCCGCATTGCACGATTTGACCGTCAAGTCTTTTAAAAACAGCAAAGGAGTGGAAGTTGGAACGCTTTGCCCCTTCCAACTTCCCTAGACAGTTTAATATGGGTTAAGCATCTCCTTTAACCTGAGGCCAAACGTGTGTCCAGTTCTATATAAAAAAACAGTATAAGGTATTTTGATTTGCGACGCCCTTACACTTTTATAAATATCGGCCTTGACCGAACATTCAAAAGCCGGCCATATTTGTGGTTATATTTAAGCTCTTTTTCTTTTCAGTCTATACATCGGGCTTAGGCCTTTTAAATCTGATCATACTTGGTACATCTCTCCTAATATTCCGTCTTTTTATAGCCCATATCATTCGTTACTTTAGTTATTGGACCATATGTTGATCCGCAATATAAAACTATAACTGAAATATGCAAAGGATTAGACATAATACTAGACATCTATCGGGTAATATTGGATTCTTTCCGTCAACCCTCCTCCGTTAGGTATTCAAATGCCTTGAATTCGTACATCAAACGTCTTTTATTATGTTTTTATTTATTTTATTAGTCTTTGGTTCTGCTCGAAAGTAGCTATAGCAAAATGTAACGTAATAAATTATTTATATAAAAGATTATGATAGACCAATAATTGGTGACCGCATCCTTAAAATAAATATATGAATCTGAATGTTTTTTATACTATCAATGACACGAGAACGGCTTTCGATAAATTTTATTATATCCATGTCCATATAATGTAAAAATGAGTAAATAAGTCTTCAATACATGAGGAAGAGTTTTAGCAAGATTTATTACCAGTTTCGGTTATTTTATCCCTAGTTACATTTTTTTATTATTACTTAAAGCTGCATTATAATACTGCCAAGCATAAAATAAACTCCATAATAAACAGATTTTAAACAAAAAGCGAATGTGTAAGGACTCTCGGCGCACGGCGTTTCATCAAAATGGAAAACGAGAATAAATAGCGCTTATTCTGCGAAAATTTAAGCCTTTGTTACCCCATTTTGAATATGTTACAGGGGATGTTAGAGGGTGAGTAAGTATTTACTCGGGCGACGTGTTTTATAAGTCTGGATCGTTTTTTTTTTTTTAAAATATTTTATTTTGTATCTTAAAAAACACGTTTTTCCTTTCTTGTGAAGATCCCTCTCACGGCAAGAAGACAGTGGGTGTAGCCGAAAAAAAAACCCCCCCTAAACTTCGGTACTCTTTTAAAACCGCAAATCATCAAACAACACTTATTTAAAACAAATATCGCAAATTAATTAGAAGTAGCCTGTCTAGCACTAGTCCCAGGCCCTTTTATCAACTAGATAATCGTTGACTTTATAGTAAGCCTTTTTCACAGCTTTTCTTTAATACATTTCTTAAATTTATTGAAAGGCAGTGATAAAAGAGCCTCTGGGATTTTATTAAAGAAGAGTATCCCTTTCCCCAAAAAAATTACAAACTTTAGATAGTCTAGTAAGGGGAATTGCAGCCGTTTGCATCAGCATTGCAATGATTAAATTTCATTGAATTTAATGAGCATTCGCAATTCGTCCAAATTACCTGTCCTAATTTAGACCAATTGCAAATGAATAATCGAAGATTATTGCTGTCTATATACTCATTCATTATAAATGTTTTATCAAAACTTTATACGTTATAACATTGCTTGTGTTGACATGATGGTTAATGCTAATTTGCGAAAATTGAAACAAGACTTGATATGTATAATTGAAGGAGATTTTTTTGTTGCAAACGGGCAAAAGACTCGGTCAGAGTCGTCAGGTCGAGTCACAAGCTTCGAGTGTGCTGTCAACCATAAAGAAATATTTTATGGCCAGATAATTCCACATGGAGGTGATGCGCGATAAGTGCCATAATCAAGTAAATAATGTGTTATAAAACCTTGAAAAGTCAAAGTCAAAATCATTTATTCATTTAGGTAACACGATGTACGCTTATGAACGTCAATAAAAAATACATATTAAATGCTTCTAATTTTACATTTACTGCCAGTTCTCAAATCAAGGGCGTAGAACGAACGACTAACTGGCAATAAACTCTCCGCCAATCTTTTTACGCAATGTTTGTTTGAGCTGCAACCATTACACCATGTTCCACGTGACATCTCAAGTAATTAATAGTTAATTAATTATAAAAGCTTATTCAAACAAACTAAATAACGTTTATCATACGATTTTACTCAACACAGTTCGTCAAAAAACTGTCAAAATCTTTCCTTTTTTAAACATAGCATCAATTTTCTGTCTGGCTGCGTGGAAAAGTAGTGTGAAAGGATTATGAAAGTTCGAGAGGCTTAGGAATCTTGCGGAATATAATAATATTTTCTTTGTGAACTTTTGGCGTGCAGCTTTTTGTTTTTAGCCTCTTGATACTCAAGTTTCTCTTCAAAGATAATGGCTGAGAAATTCTTCGCTATTATATTATAAGTGAATCTTTTAACGATCAGTCAAAAGCGTTGAGATCGGAGGGCAAAAGTAATCTTATTCAGCGGTTATATATCTCTAGTTGGTGCCTACGACTACGTCCGCGGTATTATAACGTAACCTTATTTGAAAAATTCAATAAATTAGCCAGTTTCTGGTGTATTTTTCATCCTCGCGTAGGTTTTCCCACGATGTTATACTTCACCACATGCGCGAATTAGAAATAATATATAAAAAATATCCATTGGTGCACAGCCGTTCTTGAGCGCACGACTTCATGATTGAGAGTCGCCTTTTCTGCTTTTTAAAGTTAATTACTACTATTTATTCAATGTACTGCCATTCCATTCTACTATGCAATTATTTCAGGCCATCGGCTCACATTATACTTAATTATATTACTAAATGACACACGATTTCTATCGATTCATTTTAAATTTAATATTTAGATTTATTGTATATGTGAAGTTTCGTAAAGCCTCAATATTTCATGGTCACTTTCGTCACTTAATCGAAGCTTCTATAGTCGTATTTTTAATTAGACGAAGCCAACTGACAGTAGCTAATGTCACTTTGTAAAATAATGTTGCCATATTTAAAGTAATAGTGATACGTTCTGTTCTTGTTCAATCAGATGAATGAACAATGAGTGTGAATAGATAATCATTTCAAACTATAAAAGAATATTATTTCTATTTCAAAATTGTATAAAATTGCTCTGATATAAGATAGGTACTAGTACTATGTAACTACAATCAGTTTTTTGACGGCTTATTACAAAGCGCGGCGCGGCGACTAGTGCCATCACCGATCATTAATTCAGGGGTTTTTACCATCATTCACTTTGTCAGAACACTATTTTTTTTCATTAAAACTGACAACACCGTAAACGTCAGTTGACTTCGTCTAATTAAAAATACTACTATATATAGGCACGTATTTAGCTGTCTATGAATTAATTTCTTCAACATAACCTTAATCAAACGAATTTTCAGTTTATATATCTTGCCACTACATAGGCAGGATCCCTCTTATTGTTATTTTATTGTTATGAACAAAAGAATTTTTAATATAACCTCAAAAACTCCGAAATAAATTTAATATTTCGAGCCCTCCGTTCCTGTTGTTTCACGTCACTGGTCAACGATAATTTGGCGCATAATTAGAAATGTATTCTTAAGTTAATATGTCACAGTATTCGTCAAATGGAAAACCTTGGTAAACATTTTATAAAATTTTCGAAAATTCACTTCTTATCAGTCATTAACGCATAACTAAAGCAGTATTCAGCAAGACGACAGCACCGACGACAACCTTAACAGCATTCGATTTATATAAATTTTATAAAATGCTGTTACGTTAATATCTGTCAAAGAGTTGTAATGTATTTTTCTCGCGTAACGAAAGATATAGTAGCCAGCTGTACGTAGGTGTCATTGCGTAGAATAATATGAAAATAAGAATGTGGTATAATTTCAATGATGCGTTAAAACTACTTTTAGAATTGTAAAGGGTTGTACCACGTAACAAAGACACTTCATTTCGTCACGTCTGCTAACTCCCTGTTTCCTACTGAAAGGGCTAAGATCAAAAGATTTGTGAGAGAGATCCCCACTTCATAGCTTTCTGACCGTGCTTTACGGGGGCTTAATCTCTGTAAACTTTACATATAAACAGGATATTATACGTTTATCATAGAAGAAATATTATTATCTAATAAATTAAAAATATTTATAATATATTATTGTTTAAATTAATTCGTGCAATTATAATAAAAATAGTGTATACTGTATCCATAATATTGTAAAAATAGATTATAAATAAGGAGAGGTGAGAGGTTGTAGGATCGTTCCCCAGTAGTGTAATTAATTGAGGTGAGACGGTGAAGTTGGCATAACAAAAGGTTTCAAGTTTGAACAACAATTTCCTCGAAACTGACGAGAAAATTAACCGTTATTTAGTTTAAACATAAAATGTTTATTTTGTAGAAACCAGTAAAACATAGGACATTTTAATATTTGGTGAAAAAATGTACGCTTTGATGACTTATTGATTCAAATGTTTGGCGAACCGTTTGATGGATCACGTCGCGCCCATTGTACTGCCTTTATGCATCGATGCCTCCTAATTCTGTCATCGGTCTGTGATTTACCATATTCTCTATTGGATTTTGCTTTCAAAAGTTTTGAATATCCAAAATAGTCTATGAGAAGTTAAAATGCGCCTGGAATTACGAGTACAGTGTATGAAGTAAACGGCCGTTTCATTGATTACTTGTTTAAAAAGACAACTTATATTCTGCCTTCTGCGCCTGATACACAATATAAATGGCTTCCTCATGATGTTTTGTATGAGTTGATATCAATGGCCCAGTTAGAAGTTTATTAGAAAACAGCCGGGTTTGGAATAATATTTTCTATTGTTATGTTTTAATTTAACTTGTAACTTACATTAATGCATCGTGATACTTTTTTCTATTACAATTATATTATATTTGAATAAAGTGCATACGAATATTGTATTTAAGTACTTAAAGTAGATTTTAATTATTTTATTATTAAATATTTTTTGACCGAAGTTTTGTCAAATTGTAAATTTCAATATTTATATACATATATAGGTAATGTATTTCTTTCTTGAAATGGTGTCGATTGTTATATAAATATCTCTAAACTTAAACTCTCCAAATTTTATATTAGTAATTGTATCTAGTTATCGTAAAGGTATGCAAAAAAATTATTAAAATATTATAGTTCTGTCAAATAATTTTTCAGTTTTGGCCGTGTCAATATAGAGATTATCAGATTATAACAGGCATGTTTGACAGGACTAAACAAATTATATCAGTTTTTACTAATCCGAATCAACACTTTGAATAAAAATGTCCTAATTAATCATAGAATAAGTTTTATTAATGTATCATCTCATTAAATAAAAAGTTAAATTCAGATAAATGTAAATCTCATATCTCCTAGTATTTCTTCCAGAACACGGGTGCAAGGAGTTCCGGTGCAAGCAGCGGGAGTTCTGCGTAAGCGCAGACCTCACCTGTGACGGCGTCGACCATTGCGCAGACGGATCTGATGAAGATACCGCTGCGTTATGCCCCGGTAAATTAATTTGTCGTGCACAAAATATTTCTCGTTATTTTATTGTGTCGATTTAGGGTAACAATTTCTAGACTATTTTCGCAACATCGTTTCGTTGGGTTTTCCTGTACAAGGAACAATTAGTGGATACAAGTAGGCGCACGAAACTCTAGCGCTAACGTTATTGTTACCTGGCTAGCGGAATGAAGAGTTTCGATTGGCTCTCCAGTCGCATTCCGTCCCCCGCGCGACAGTACACATGCGCAGCAATCCCCTCCACGTATCGGCCAGCGTAGACACGTGCCGCTGCCTTAAGAAACACTTGTTGCAGACCAAGAAATATAAAAAATGTGTGCGTCTTGGGACGCCCGATAGAAGTTATATCTTAAACTAATCTAAGTTGGTCTATTTAATTCTGTAATGTTCCGAGGACCATCTTCTGCTTCATTTATCATATTTTTTATCATCACTTTCAAAAACGGGGATAGTTTGAGGTATACTCACTATCAACAGTAAAAGTCTAACGCACATTAAACACTGAGTAGAGAGGGGAAAGCGTCTGTCCGAAAACGGCTACCGCTGCGGGTTAGAGTGAGAGAGCTTGCCTACCCCTGCTGTATGGGTGAGAGAAAGGGGACAGACTGGCGCCGTAACGCGTTACGTAACGAAGCGGTTTACCCTCCCATAAGAAGTTATCACTTTAATATTTTCTAAAACCAATATAATCACTGACAAAATTTATGTAATCCATAAATAAATGTAGTAGAGTAGATTATTGAAGTTTACCTCTTACGGAATGTCTTTTGCCTGTTACGTCATTTGACCTATGCGAAAATCCCACACCGCGCATGATTTATACGTACTCGGCGTATAGGCATCATCGAGATCGTATGTCATTTGACGAAATCATTTTTCATACAACAAAATACCATGATAGTTTTAAAGATATTTTAGTAATTCTTTCATGATGTTGTTTCATTTTAATTTATTTTATTATACAAATTAATATCCATAGTTATTTGGTTAATATTTACAGAGAACGGCAGTGGTGGTAGCAGCGAGGCGTGGATGGTGGTGGCTGGTGGCGCAGCAGCATTACTAGTGCTTTTAATAGCTGCCTTGCTGTGCTGCTATTGTCGTCGAAGGGCACCCAACCGCCGAACACACCTACATTGTAATATTTTTGGCTTTATACTTACAAAATACAACTTAGATTTTAGTTAAAGATCCATTATGTACTTATGCTTTCTTGACAGTCAGATCTTCTTCCATTTTCTCTAGGTTGCCAGTTCAGCGGTGAGCGGAGTCTTTTACTTCCCCCACGATGTTGGATTTTGATACAATCTCCTCATATTTCTCATTATTTTTTGCAGTAGAACAAATGGCGAGCAGTAACGGCGCGGGAAAGGCCGTGCCGAGCTCGCCCGGCAGCACCACGCGACTGCCGGGAAACTGGGCGCACCCTGCGGGCCCGCGCGGGTAACTCATCATTCCTTACTAATTACTGGTCACTCAAAAGTTTGCCTATATTTTTATTCTTTCCGAGATTGTTACATAGTACTGACGGTATATGATTATGTGGAAATAAAAATCGATCCTATTTACACAGTTTTACAAAGGAGGTATCTATTTTTCCATAGTTAATAAAATAATAGTTATCATTTATTATTGGTAGACATCCCGTACACTCACACTGCCAAGAAGCATTGCCAGCTTTTTAAGAATCTGGCCATGAATGCACTCTTGAAGGACTCTGGGCAGTTGCTTCCACATAGGGGTGGTGAACGGCAAAAGTCTCTTAAAAACTAATAATTTTATAAAGATAACAAGGTTTAAGGATCAGGGCTGCATTGCAGGTACAGGGCGGCGCGCCCGGGCCGCCTGCGGGCGCGGGCGCAGCGCTGAGCGGCGCCGCCCCGCACAAGGACGAGTGGTTCGTCTGAGGCGGCCCGGTCGGGCCCGCAGGGCGGGGGCGCCGTACCGGCCCCCCTTCCGCACCCAGTTTCGGGTCTACACCGCACACACCCGACACCCAACACCCATACATCCATCCATCAATCGACGCGTGGAAAGTTCGTGTATGCAATTTCTTATTGTAATTTGTATCGCGGAATATTTTTCATTTGTAAAGATTTTTGTAGCAGTTATGAGTTCGTGTCGGTGGTGGATTGGAAGAAATAATATCTATTATTAGTCGTGGTGTAGGTGATAGGCCCCGATAGACCGTTGATCGTGATTTTTATGTTCATTTAGATTTCTGTTAATATTTAAGAAAATCTACAAAGTTATAAGAAAAAATTTATACATATTTTAAGCTCTTTTTTATATTCTATGTGGCGCGCTCTTAGTTTACATCGGGTCGGTTTTAAACCTTTTAAATGTTATTTACAAATGATGCAATAAAATCGTAGTAATCATATCATAAAAATTTAGTCTAACGATAATAATAAAATCTTCTTCAGCTATATGCAAGAAGCAACAATAATTAATATTGTGCAAAGCTACAATATATCGCTAATTCATAAATAAAACAGTTAAAATCGTTTCTTATCTATTTTTAATTATGATATTGAGATTTTACAAATACCAATTTTGAAACAGGCTTTCATTATCATACTATTTTACAAAAGCTATTCGGTTGTATGTTTTTGCGTCTGTCAGTTCTAATAAGCAACACTGGACCAGTTTAGCAATAATCTCTTAAATTAAATTTGTCTGTTAACTTTATTAATACCATTATTTTAGTACATACTAAATACAAATTAAAAGAAATACACATTTTACTCCGTTTTCTTTAACTTGGCAACAGATGGCGCTGTTTCAATTTAACAAACGGCAACAGACACAAACTTCCATTGGGCGATATTCAGAAACGAGACTCAGCGTTAAGCGTGGTTCTCGTGTGTCTGGATAACATACGAGAGTCAGAGCCTGGGTCTTGTTTCCAAATCTTACCCTATAAAATCAATACCACGATCAAAATCATGCGAATTTAATATATATATTTCATTGAACTGTATGTATGTCTGGGCTTATCGTTAGATTGGCCAGATCGAGATATGCCCAGGCAGAACGTGATACTCCGGCACATCATGATCTGGCCATCCAACACAGGGCATATCGTTCAACACTAACGTTTGGCGATTTGGCCAGAGTACAGGCAATCGATTATGTAGGGTGTCCAAGGTTTTAGCAAATAAAAATAAAGTTAAGAATTAAAATGTTTATTAAAATTGAAAATAATTATTGTTATGAAGCTCTAATAAATTATTTTTAAAATTCCAAATGTGGCACATAGAATCACAGTTCTTTGAGAGAAAATAACAAAACGCCTATTTGAGGCAAATAAAATATGTATATAAAAGTAAGGTTTAATAAAATGTTACACAGCATCATAGAAACACTACGCAACACTAAATTAAATGAAAATGTTAAAAAATAATGAATAACATTAAAAATGAGTTATTTAAATAATAAAGTGTAACAACATTCAGTTGAAAAAAACTTATATTAATAGGAACGTCAAATAGTTTTTCAAAGAATAGTTACCATTATTTGTTTTAATATGACAAATTAATAACATCTCAAAAAATTCTAAAATCAATTCAATCACAGCCCTTTGGTATAAAAAATAACAGTTCGTAACATTTAAATACCTAAAAAATCTTTAGAAATAGGTTCACCACAACGCCATCAGAAAGAGAAATTAAATTAAAAAATGTTTATAAACATTAAATAGGTACCTACTTAAAAAGTGTTCCTCAATCAGACTAACAACAGACTTAATCAGTTGAAAATAAACTTTGTATTGAATATTAAAGGAAAGTCAAATATTTTTTGAGATATCTATCATTTGTTGATGCATGATATACTTTGATGACATTTTGAAGTGCAGAGAACATTATTCTTATAACATGCACACCTTTTGGTGTGACATTGATTTCTGGCAGGCCTCAGGAGCATTTCTGGAAACCTTGACCTCCAAACATGGACTGACATTGACTGCATGACGCAATGTTATAAATATTCAGAAATGTCTCCATTATAATCTTTGGCTGAAATTTGTAATTCTTGTCTCGGGAACCAGTTTTTATTGTTCCAGAAGTAGTACCAATTTTAAATACACCATTCTAATGTCAACAATTTTACCTGCGATGTTCTTGGTATCAAGTGGTCCCGATCAAATTTTGGAACATTATCAAGACGCTATTACCAACTTCTAATAACGGAAGCTTTTTTGACTGTTTGGTCAATCATTTTTCTACAGCCCGTTTGGTACCTTTAAGAGTTTGTGCTCTTTCTTTTGCAATGTCTTGTTCTCTTTTGCATATGAAACATAAAATCTGAGACCCGTAACCTTCTTCACCGTCAGTGAGACCACTATAACGTGAACTGGTTTAAAGCGATCTAACTTGAGCTCCAGTTGTTTCTTTGGTACAAACCAAACAAATCTGCGTATTGAGTCGGCTTTCTTAGTCGTTAGTGACGTGTCGCTACTGGCTGAAACCCCTGAATTGAAGACAAAAACATCTTTGCTAGTAGAAGTTCTGTTAACAGTTTGCAAAGCTAAATCTTCTATACAGGACGTATCATTTCTGGGTGAACAATTAGTTGCTTCAAGTTTTTGTTCGGCGGTTTCAATATTTTCTATTTTCAGATCTTGATTGGCAAGCGCCGTTGCCAATTTACACTTGTTAGGACGTTCTGTACACTTATGCTTTAGGAACATTTATTTCGGCCGAAACCACTCAACATCAAGCGTTAGTGCTTTACTACTTAAGCCATCAACATTTGTCCCTTCAGGCAAGATTATCTCCATCGAGGTTGTCGTAATTTCATCTTTTCAGTTTCAATAGATGAAATAACACTGTCTGCATATTGGCAGGCGCCGGTGCCGCATTTATACATGTTGGGGCATCCTGTACACTAATGCTTCAGAAATATTCACTTTGGCCGAAACCATCTCATCATCAAGCGTTAGTGCTTTACTACTTAAGCCATCAACATTTGTCCCTTCAGGCAAGATTATCTCCATCGAGGTTGTCGTAGTATTCTTCTTTTCAGTTTGAATAGATGAAATAACACTGTCCGGGATATTAGTACCTTTCAGTAATGTTTTGGGGTCAGAACCGAACAAGGCACATAGGGTGATCTACCATTATACGATGAAAAGATGAATTTTTATAATACTGTCAATACAACCCCAACCAATTAGCAAATCATTATCTTTCATCCAACAACGCAACATGTTTTCTACGTCTTGGTTGCTACGTTCGACGCTTCCTTGCGTTTGAGGACGTCTAGGGCCTCCATGTCTTCATTCTGGCCACAACTGCACAAGTTCTTCAATGACATGAGCTGTAAACTCTTTCCCATTTCAGATTGTAAAATTAATGGTGCACCAAACTCCAAAAATATTTTAAATAGTTCAAACGCCACCTCCACAGCCCTCTTAGATTTCAATGGCCTCAAGTGTAGAAACTTGGTAGCATGGTCCTGATAATTCATTAACCACTTGTATTCCCCGTCCGGAGCTGATTGTAAATCAATAAGGTCTACCTGACCTCGTGAGTTGAAATCTGGTGATATAATTGGTTTTGTCACTATACTTTTTTTGGCATGGAACGTTTCATTTCACACACTGCACACAATTTAATGTATATTTCTATAGCTTTTTTCGGTATGTGAAATTTGTTTTTATACTTATATCATTTTTCTCTGCCACCATGCCCAACACTTTGTGAACTTCTGTTAATATATCAAAATATTCATCTACGGCGACTATGCGCACTGTAGGATCATCGGCAGTTTTTCTTTTGAAAATTAAGTAATCTTTGTCAGAAGTTTCCATGACATCATATTTTGCACTCCAATAATAGTCCGAAGAGACCCGCTGCATGGTCACCCTACTTCTTTTTATTTGTTCAATAACCTAAAAAATAAAATGGAACTTTAGCGTACAAACATTAGTTACTTAATCAATCTAAGAATTTTAATACATAATGACATGAGAGAAACGCATCACCTAACATTATTATGCAAAAATAAACACTTGTTTATCAACTAAATACTAACCTCTAAAATACGTTGAGAAGTCCATGGTTTTTTTACATTGTGCGAAGAATCTTTATGTCCCTCATAGAAATCAAGTAACTGATGGTAATATTGTTCTTTAAATGCACTTTTGTTTCGTTTTCACTGTTCATTTGATAATATCAACACCACATTCACTTGTTTGTAACGCCGCCATCTTCCGCTCCGTAAACAAAGCCGAGCGCGCGAAGACAGCGGAATATCGACAAATACGTTATTCTCGTCGATCTGCCCAACCTTTTACTTGGCGCATCGCGATATGCCCGGCCGAACATGATGTGCCGGCGTTTCAAGAAGTGCCCGGGCATATCTCGATCTGGCCAATCTAACGATAAGCCCACGACATGTATAACTAGATCGCGTCACTTACCTGTTCTAGACATATCTATTGCGATAGTATTAAATCCTAAGTGGTCGCATCGCGTTTGTTAAGGTATTTTGGCTCCAAAATCAGACTACGGCTCCTGTATGATGGAATTTCCTATCTGTTTTGTCACACGGGAGCGCTAAGTCTCTAACCCTTAGATCTCGGATGAATTTGCGAACTGTAACGGACAATTGTTTTCGATCGCGGCTCGACCACGATTTTTGTTGAAACAATAAACTAGTTAAAGTAAGATCAAAAGTTTTTATACGTTTCCTAATACTTTGCATTATAAAACATAATCATGATTCATAATCATAGAATAGAAGAATGTATAAATTTAATTTAAATATAAATAAGGTGTGTCCTAAACTTTATAAGACGTTGGAGCGTATGTTTGTACCTTTGAATAGATCTTGTATAATATTATCGCGCTGATAATCTGATG